TAATTGAATGCTTTCAAATACATACATCAATATAAATACAGTACAGTTATCCACTTTTCGGGTGCGAGACTATGCTATTAATAACGAAGACAATGGTATTGACTGCTTAGCTAACGGTACCAATGCCTCAACCAATGGCTTTCACACTAACAAAACACACAATAATAATAATACTGTCCAAAGAAATGTGTCAAAAATTCCCGGACCGAAGACTAATAGGTGACCAACGCTTGCATTAATTTATTAATTATTAATAGTATTAATTTGCTTTCATTAATGATTGCATTAATAAATAACTTATTATTTAATATATCTAATACATTAATAATGATTATGTAATTTAACTTTCATGTTAACAGATCCGGAATTCCAGTCTGTGGTCCGCGCACAGCAATCCCGGGCCCAGTAAACTCCCGGCCCGCTCAGCCTATCGATAACTCGTGGAGAAATGGATGCTTTTAATGGAGATTTTATTGATTTGATTCTTAATTATTTAAATTTCTTTGTTTGTTACGTGATTTTAAATCTAAATCTTTTTTATATTAATATTAGTCACAAATGTATATTATTTTTACCGTAAAATTGATTTTTAAAAGTTTTTATCATTATTTTAAACTGTGATAAAATTTATCATTTGTGGCCATAAGTCATCAGTAATTAGCGTTTGATTTGCAAAAGTTATCAAACGTTTCATATTTTTAGCAAAATTTTATTTCAAATGTATTGTATGTATAAAATTAGGATTCAATGAAATCTTTTTTAATATAACTTTTATAAGAATATTATACAAAAGTTTTTACTTATAAACAGCATTTTTCACTACTAATTACGGTATTAATACAGTATCAGTAATAGACATAAAAATAATACTTTTGTGCCTTTTATTCAAATTAATGTATAATACAAACACATTTAAAGTGCGATTTAGTGATTGTATATAATATTCAACATTTTTTGTCAATTTGTATATTTTATGATAAATGAGATTAAAATGATTTCATTTGAAAAACTTGCGAATCAATTATTTATAACGAAGTCGTTATTTGCAATAAATTTACATAATTGTGGATAACTGTACTGTATTTATATTGATGTATGTATTTGAAAGCATTCAATTACAATATTTGATGAATTTATTAAATTGTTGTGAACTTTGAAATACAAGTAATTAACTGTAAATCGAAATATTATGATATTATGAGAGGAATACTAGTTTGTCAGGAAAGATGGGTTCAGGTATGTCTCAAATTCAAGTTTTCCACTATTTTACCGTTCAATGAGATATTAGCTCATAATAGCACGCATTGAATGCAATGATTGCCTATAATATAGACGTATCGGCGATGTATTCAACACTCGCATCAATATAATGACCAATTTATTTGGATAACCACTGCCTGTACTGTACTATCATTTATGAAATTACTGTTTATTAAAGTTATGCAATATTTGACTAAACTGTAAGACCATGCGAGAGATGGTAGATAAATGACTAATGATCTTGGCTAATTATTGAATCGCATTTGTAAGTTACCACTAGTTTGATGTCAAAATTCTTGCCATGCACAGTTTTGAGCAAGGTTCATACTCTGGACGTAATTTGAGAGATAGATAACCATTTGATTGAATGAAACATTGGATTAATGATACAATAAATGAATTATTTCTGTCATCACTTGTATGGCACTTGTGGTGAGACTTAACATCAATTCCTACAGAATATACCCAAATATGCGATGAGTTCTACAAAATTGCATAATATTTCATACATTGCTAATGAATGCCAATTATTGCCAATTATTCTCAAGAAGTTGTCTATTCATTCAACCATTCATTCAAACATCAGGTGTCATCGCATACAGTGTGTCATTCAAATGTCTAAAATGGCTCATTCATCACTTGATGTGACCTAGCACATAAGCTTATAACTGAATCATCTATGCATGCATAATAGTACAGAATATTGCGTACAGAGAATAATGCAATAATTAGTGATGAAATCGCATTGTGTGTCACTTATGGCTTACATATAATACGCGCCAAACATATGACTCCCATTGAGACCCGTTTGCGCCACCATTGCATTACATGTCATAAACAGCGTTACAGTTATCGCAAGTCGAGGGGAAGGAAGTCTCATATGAATAGTGTATGCGTTGACAACGTGTGCCATCAATGGGCCATAAATTATGTGATATTTGGTGACAGACTTTGTGAACAGAAATATGCCGTAAATACTCGAATGGATGAGAGAGTGAATGAGTGGACCATTGAGTCTCACAACCAGTTCATGATCTGTTGGCGCATGAGTTGAGACATGAGTGACATATCAGACACTGAACTAAAAGACCAACACTTACTACGAAGACTTCGCTCTATTATCACCGATTTGGACCAACTGGACACCGGTGTCGTGCCTGTCGGCCAAGTGAGACAATGGATGCTAGAGTTGGTGACCACTGCTGCCCCCAAAGTGACCACTAATGGTCACAAAGTGCTCACTCAAGACAACCCCAACCCCTTTGTGTCCGCAGAGACGCCGACAAACACTTCCAGTACTTCTGCTAACAGTTGCAGTGATAGTGATGTGAATGACACGCAAAACACTATCAATATTACCGACAATAGTGTTGATAACAATCCAATCACTGATAGTCAAGAAGTGAATGACTTATTTGATGGCAATTTAGGTGATAATAGTGAAGACAAAGTCGAGTCAACCGCTGAGGAGGACATACCAAACGGTGACCATAAGAGTGATAACAGTGTCGAAGCTGAGGAAGAAGTGCCCGAAGGAGTGGATCGTGAAGTGAGCGGTGATCAGCTGGAAGTGAATGCCGACATCTCGAGTAAGCGCCAAAAGGAAGACTTATCTGAACTGAGTTCCTCAGACACCTCTATGGGAAGTGTTAGAAACCTTCGCTCCAGAGCTAAGGATAAGACGAGTGATAATCAGTGTTCGGACTCTTCTGACGTTCAATTCGACGACTCCTCTGATTCTCCCGATTCTGCCTCAGACTCGGACTCCGACTTCAAAGTCAACCACAGATCTGATACCAATTCAAGCAATCGCTTGAATTCTCAAAGACTTCTCAAAGACATTAGAATTACTCAATTGGAACCGTCTGTTGACTTGATTCCAGTGAGTGATGATATTATAGACGAGGCCATCGACGACGCGACCAAAGCCTCGGTTGTGATACAAACACTTGAATCCAATTTGAAAGAGTGTTTGCTCTCCAAAGGAGTCATTTGTCGCAAAATGAAGACAATTAAGAGTAAGGAAATGAAGTCTAAACGAGAGGACAATGAAGAGGACAATGAAGAGGACAGCGATGACAACGAGAATAAAGAAATTCGTCGTTTGTGTCAAATCCCTAAAATCAGAACTAATCGACGAAATACTCGCCATTCGGCCAAAGATGGTAAGGATTCGGACAAATCAGACGAAAGCGATGGCAATGAAAGCGATCGCAAAGATAGTGAAAAAGACAAACAAAAGCGAATGAAGACATCAACGCCTCTGAGAATTAAGTCGAGAAATAGTGATTCAGAACTTGAATCCGATTGCGATGTCTCGACAGTCATGCCTAAGAGGGACACCACTCTCCAAATGAACAGTACATCTAAACGACAGAAACGCGATGTCTTGGACTCCGACGTCAGTTCTGATGAGGAGACCACACAAGACGTGAAACGAAGTCCGACTAAAAAGACGGCCAAAAAGGCGGTTAAGTCCGACTCAGACGACGCCATGAATGGAGGAGACGTTTGTGATAACAATAGCGAAGACAATAGTAGTAAAGAAGATAACGAATCAAAGGTTAAGTCAAAGACTCAGACAAATAGAGACAAAGTTTTGCAAAACGCCAACAAATCTCTTAAAGGGAAGACCGAGAAGTCTGTCATTGAAATCGACAGCAATAGTGATGAGGAGATAGTCGTAAAGAAAAGAGTAGCCAAACGACGAATGTCTGACTCGGACTTCGATCACAGCGATAGGCCTCAGAGTAGTGACAGCTCTTCAGATATCGGTGACGAGTCGGAAGGCATGGATCCGTCGGCTGAAGACTCTGACTTTGATTCAGACTCTGCTGTAGAGACGTCGAGAAGTAAAAAGAAAAAAGCGAAACAAAAAGCAAATAAAAAATCGAAACCAAAGAGGAAACGAATTGTAAGAAGTGTTTCATTGACTGACTATTTGATTGGATTTTTAATTATTTTTCATTTGCATTAACAGAGAGTAAACGACTCGTCTGACGATGACTGCAAAGTCTTGTCCGATGAAAATGATTCGCCGAATAAGAGCCGAAAGAACATTAAGAAAATTATTTCCGACAAAAAACTTAAGGTTTGTCTCAGTTATTGAGTTTAAGAATTGATTGAAATGTAATATAATTTGATTAACGGTTCACTCATTTGTATGAATGATAGCAACAAACGAAAGACGCGGCGGAAGCCGAGAGGGAACGTATGCAACGGATTAAAGAGAAACAGAAGGAATACAATGACTTAATAAAAGACCGACAGTTGAAGTCAACAGATGTGAAGGAATTGATCCTCGAGTTCGACAAGGAGTCCAAGAAGGTGTTGGTAGAGGTGGACCACGAGTTGGTTAAGTTCCTCAAACCGCATCAAACGGACGGAATTCAGTTTATGTATAACTGTCTCATCGAATCTGTAGAACAAGTGGAGAGCTCTGAGGGCTCGGGTGCTATTCTGGCCCACTCTATGGGCTTAGGAAAGACACTGCAAGTGATCACATTCTTGTACACCATTATGACTCACAAAGACATCAAAAAACACATCAAACGATCGCTTGTCATATGTCCCGTGAATACGATTAAGAACTGGGCGAATGAGTTCCGCATTTGGCTCAATGATAACGATATGGACGACCTCTTGGTGTTCGAGATGTTTGACGCAAAGACACCGCATCAGAGGGCAGAGCTCCTGAACATATGGTACAAGAGGGGAGGCGTTATGATCATTGGTTTGACGCTATACTCGAATCTAGTGATGGGAAGGGGCAAAAAGCAGCCCAAATCCGTTAAGGAGACCATTCAGAAGGCTCTAATAGATCCGGGACCAGACATAGTAGTGTGCGATGAGGGACACCTACTCAAGAACGAGAAGACCGCCTATAATAAAGCGGTCTCTCAGTTGAAATGTCTGAGACGTGTTGTGCTGACGGGAACTCCGCTTCAGAACAATCTCATTGAATATCATGTAATGGTTTCCTTCGTGAAACCCAATCTTCTGGGAAACAAAAAGGAGTTCACAAATCGATTCGTGAATCCCATAACCAATGGACAACACGAAGACTCCACTGAATATGACGTGAAGATTATGAAGAAAAGGGTCCATATATTGCATACATTACTAAATGGTTGTGTCCATAGAAAGGATTACAATGTTTTAGTCCCTTATTTGCCGCCAAAACATGAGTTTGTGTTAAGTGTGTGTTTGACTGAAAAGCAAATTGAATTGTATAGACAGTACTTAGAGACACAGACAGACAAACAACGGATGAATCTGTTAGCAGACTATGGAGTGTTGCGACTCATTTGGAATCATCCGATCCTTCTGTACGAACAGCACAGACGACGCTTAGAGAAGGCCACCGAAGAGTCGTTGGATGAGTTCATCAACGATGACGACGAAGTGGACACTCCCGCCAGCGGTGACTCCGATGTCGAGTGTCTCGACGATAAGGCCGGCCCTTCAACGGCAGTTCCCAAGAGACGAATGCGAACGCGATTTGGAAAAGAGAAGTGCGAAGAGTCGGAAGAGGAGGTGAAGAGCTCGGACAGCAACGACGGTATGTCTGACGCGTGGTTCGCGCCGTTGCTCAAGAAGGAGGACTCAAAACAGATAGAATTGAGCGGAAAATTCATACTATTGTTCGCTATTCTGGAGGAGTGCGAGAAATTGGGCGACAAAATACTGCTCTTCTCTCAGAGTTTAGACACTTTAGATTTGGTCGAAGAGATGCTTCACATCCGGATGCAGAAGGCGGCCGACAATGAGTCGCGCGATCAGATTCCAGAAATCGATTTGGAGACCAACTGTCCCTCCGATGCCACGAATGTTTGGATCAAAAATAAAGACTACTTCCGACTCGACGGCTCCACTGCTTCCGACTATAGGAAGGCGTGGATCGATCTGTTCAACGAAGAGACCAATTATAGGGCGCGACTGTTCCTGTTGTCCACAAAGGCCGGAGGGCTGGGCATTAATCTGGTCGGTGCCAACCGTTGCATTATATTCGACGCCTCATGGAATCCCTCGCATGACGTTCAGGCGATCTTCAGGGTCTTCCGGTTTGGCCAGAAGAAGCCGGTCTATGTCTACCGCTTTGTGGCTCAGGGCTCGATGGAGGAGAAGATCTACGAGAGACAGATCATCAAACAGTCGCTCTCTTGTCGTGTGGTCGACGAGCAGTCCATTCAGAGACACTTCAAGGCGTCTGAGATGTCGGAGCTCTATGTGTTCAATCCGGACACCTCTAAGGACAGGCCCACCCCTAAGGTGCCTAAAGACAGACTACTGGCAGAGTTGCTCATCAAACACAAGGACTATATCGTGAAATATCACGAACACGACTCTCTCCTCGAGAACAGACCCGACGAAGACATGACAGAGGATGAGAAGATGGCCGCGTGGGCTGAGTATGAGAATGAAAAGGACGCCCTATTCCTGAGGGAACAACAGGAAAGGGATGCACGCATTCAGAGGGATAACTGGACTAACATTCAGGCGAACCAACAGCAGCAACAGCAACAACAACAGCAACAGTATCTCCAACAACAACAATACTTACAACAGTTGTACCAACAGTTCGGCCAAAACAATATATCTCAACAAATATATCAGAATATTATGAAGAATCAGGAAATGCTTCGCAAACAACAACAACAGCGATATAATGAGTTAAAACAACAGGAGATTGCGAGACAAGCGGCCGCTCAACTGCAAGCACAGGCCGCAGCCTCGGGAGGGCTTCCCGGCTATGATGTGATGACTGTAGAAGATGTGGTCAAATATATAAAGAGCAACAACTCCGGTGTCTCGGACGGGGATCTCATTAAAGGTTTGTTTCAATTATTAGACACCGGAATAAAGGTGTGCACCAATGAACTCGAGACCGTCAAGAATCAGGTATTTATTCATGTTATCTATTGTTCATTCATTGTCTCACATGTGGTATTGTATTTCAGATACGAACAAACAATTCAATGGAATTGCGACCAAAATATGAGAAATTAGCGAAAGAAGTGTTTAATCTTCAATTGCAGAAAACTAGAGCTCAAGTGAGTGTTTAATGTTTGCTAAATACAGTACACCTAATGTTATATTATACAGTCTATACCATCTAAATGCAACTTTCGGAGCAATTGCTTGTGTAATGTTATAACTTGCATTATCTGAGCAATTTTATAGACAATAATTGTATAAAAGCACAAATTCTACAAAAGCAATAGGATTTGACAACATATTGACTGCAATTCACTTTATTAAAGCAAAAAAGTATAAATTGGAGATAATTTGTAGACACAAAACTTAAATTTATAAAACAAAACATATTTGTTTTCATAATACAAATACCTGTATGTACCGTATAACTTATATACCGGCACTAACATAAAGCTTTTAAATGACCGCAAGTGTTGTAAGAATTTAGTTATTGACAATTTGATTAAATCTGGTCTATTGCCGAACATGTGTAGGTTATTGGGAGAAAATTAACTTGAATTAAATTTAATCAATTAAATGTATGAAATGTATCCACTCAAAAAAGTTCATAAAAACTTAATACCACAGTGCTATATTTGATGAGACATTTTACGAGTTCATTTATACTGTATACCGGTTGTGGTACACATTATACAGTAATGGTGTTCAATAGCATACATTGAAATTCAATGAATCAATGCATTTATGATTGTATACATTGTCAGAGTATCCCAAATGACTACTTTTAACAATAATTGCTTTCATTGCAGACTTTATTTAAGGCCACTTTCGTGAGACCAACACCAGCTCAGACATACAGCAGAGGGGAGTCACTGCTGACAGATAGCCTGTCGTCGATGCCGTCGTCCTCTAACAGCAAACCCACGAGTGTTCTCATCGAAGAAGTCGACTGAATGTCTGACTGATTGCCTGTGATGTCCACTCCATTCGTCATTTCATTATTATAAACAATTCCTAACATTAGTTGTGATCTCTATTAAACATTTGGTGTGAATAAGAGTCTGTTTCGGACAGACATCGAGAGCACAGACATCCAGAGCACATGTGCTGTGCGACCGAATGCGTCGAATACTACATAACATTAATATATAGTTCTCTTCTGATGACAAACTATGAAAACTTTGCTTTCATATACTCTATCATACAGTTTGGCGCACATGTACTCTATTTGTATCTGAAGTTGGAGTCATATTTTGTCATTTGTTTGTATAAAAGTTTTTTAAATTGAAAATTATCTCTAATTAAATGATTTGAAGTTTTCGTGGATTCAATCTCTGATAGGTTTGTATTTATATGCGAAGCGCTAGTCTTTA